TATAGATTTAAAAGTTCAGATCCAAACTCTGAACCTTGTGGAATGCCAAATGTATTTTTCTATGTTAACTATTAATATTAACTACTCAATCATACTTTCTTCTTCTTTTAGTTCTTTAATAAATTCAAGGAACAACATCTTAAACCCACACTAAGTCTAACCTAATAGGAAAATGTCATGTTTATTATTATCAAAACAACTCTTAATGTTTCATTCAAAGATGTAACTAAAAACATGACTAATGGTTACTATCAATTTTGTTTGAATGTTAAACAAAAGATCAAAGAAAAGTCTTTTTCATGGCTGAATTTGAAAATTTATGCTGGTTGAAGAGTTTTACCAGGAATCAAATAATAATATATCATATTCTAATAGAATGATAGTAATATTTGAGGTAATTCACGTTCAGTTGATGAGAATGTTTAGGTTGTAGAGATCTACCCTGCAGGTCGGTGCATTATGAAACAGAAGAAGTTTTGTTGGGAGGTCGCTCTACAAACGCCTGTAAGAAGAACTGCCTTAAAGTAAACAGCAGGTCTTTGAAGGTCTTTGCTCAGAGAGAGAGACTTTAAACTCAAACATGTCCACATCAAAAGCACAGAGACTAACGGATGGTTAAACATCTAAAGAAAGGAGATGGGCTGTGTGAGGACGCTGCAGACACAGCCGGGATTTTCTCCCAAACCGCATGTTGAGACAAACGGATAGCCGAATATCCGTCAGCCCTTTGGCCGCTTCAGGGTCGCGTTCCCAGTGGAATCCCTATGAGAACCGCAATGAATCAGACCTTTCAAAACGTCTACAATAAACCGCTGTCACTCTCAAGACATATTCCATAGCCTAAAAGCATTTCAGCAGAGTCAACACTAACTTTCAGAAAAGAAGCATGTCTAAGTGCTGTCATTAGTTCTATATTGATGGTATTATGTCGTTGGTTAAGCTCAGGGACTTTCCCCAATGCAGCAGAGCTTTTCCCCCGCCCCTCCATTTCCATATGAATAAGTTGTGACAAGTGGAAACAGGTTGGTGAGATCTTCATTAGGCCTAAACGTCTTTTGGTTTAAAAAGGAATACAACTGGTGGTTGGCATGAATCAAAATGCGGCGGAAGATTTAGCGCCGAATAAAAGGCTTAGCAACACACAGCCATAGATCAGACAGGGAGATGCCTCTGTCAACACGGGAAAAATCATAACTCTGTTTTTATTTATCAGCACACAAAAGTCAATACAGAGCTTCTAAAAATAAACCGCCCTTAAAAGGTACGTACCTTTTCATCATCCTCTTCCTCATCCGCCAAATCCATGTTGTCCTGAAATTAAAACAAATAGCACAATCAAGACGGGAGCTTTAAAGGAGTCGCTAATCGGAAAAATAAAAAAATAATTAAAATAACTTTGTGTTGCTAAAACATGTAAAGTTTGGACTAAATCCTGCAGCTCAGCGGTGACCCTGAGATTAGCCTCCTCAAACAGCCGGCCCTGCGGGGTCGCAGGCCGACGGGCAGCACCGGCTTTTTCTCAGGCTCACACTCGCATACCAGAATATATTAACAACCTATAATCATGGTTAGAACATCAGCAGCACTCACACAAAGGAGGTGTTTAAAAAGCTGTGCACCACATAGATTAGTATTAATAAACAAGCATTAGTGTCACTTTAAATCTGCGCTTCAAGCTGGAAAAAACACATTTAAACTGTAAAAACAATGGAAGCATTTATTTTTTAAAATCTTAAAATGAAAAGATGGAAAATCCGCATCGAGTTTTTAAAATCTCACTCTGAAAATGGAATAAAAATACAGCAAACACTGTATTTTTTATTTTATTTTACTATAAGTATAGTTATAAAAAGCATTTTATTTAACAGTGGGAAAATTGATCAAATGAAAGGATGGACTGGAAGATGTGGGTGTGGTTATCTGGGACTTTAAAGCTATCCCAATGACTGAACATAATGTCTTAATGAAGATAAATATCAATTACAAAATATTCCCACCTTTTTATACGATTGGTGCTGATGAATTCTGCCTAACACTGGTTTAAACGTCTCGCTGAGTCACATTTGTTCTATTTCATCCCTACTGACCGCCAGAGGCGGTGCTTCAAGCACTGAATGATCATTCA